TAATTTGTAGAAGACACTTGGTGTCTATCTAAAAATAATATATCAATAAAGATTACATGCCTTGCACACGTTCCACTAAAAAAAAAAAAAAAAAAAAAATTAATATTACTATTACCTGATATCTTTTTCCTTAATACTGAGTAGTTAATCATAGCTGCTTGGTACTATCTGATAAGATATATTGTTTTAAATTTTCTTTTCAATATTAGTCAAATGGTTACTGTAGGCAAGCTAGTATTTAATTTATTGTATTTATATATGAAAGATATTGTTTTTTTCATGATATACAGTATACCTTGATATATATAAATCAAATAAATAAATAATGTTTATCTACAAAAAAAAAAAAATAAAATAAAAATAAATAGTTCTTTTTTTAACTTTTTTCTGCTCAAGAATTTTTTATTTAGAAATATATTTACTACAATAGATGATAGATTAATATGTATATAGTTTAACTTTGTCCATATATCTCATATCTTAAAAATTAATTATATAATAATAATAATTATGCTATTAATAAAGATCATAAAACATATTTCACCTTAATATTAAAAAAAAAAGTTAGAAAACAAAAAAAATTATATATACAGTATATGTTTTTGTTTAAATTAATTCCATAAAAAAAAAACCACAAATAAAATTTTTTACTAATTTTTTTATTAATTTAAAAAACAAATATTTCAAAAAAAAATTTTTTTTTATAAATAAATATTATTACTTTATTAATTATATATACAGTATATTACAAAATCTTTTAAATTATTGATTTATTTAAAAAAAAAAACTCTTTCTTACTCTCCTTTCTGCACTTGAAAATTTTCTTTTTAGGAAATTTTTAAGTTGTTTACTTTTTTTTCATTTTTCATTTTTCATTTTTCTTTATTTCATCTTTCTATACCTTTTTGTTTTCTTTTTTCTATTTTTACCTTTCCTTTTTATATACTTTTTTATACACTTTACACTTTCCTTTCTTTTTCTCATTTCCTGCCAAAATTAGGTTTTCCTTTTTCCTAAAAGTTTTCTTTTTAAGCTTTTCTTTCTTTTATAAACCCGCTCTCCATAATATCAACCTCCTAATCAATTGACTTTCTTTTCTCAAGACCATATTCAAAAATGGTAACTTCTCTCAAGACATGGGCTTCAGAATTTTTCTCTTTTTTATGGCTTTACAAAAAAAAAATAAATGGCTTACTCCTTCAAAAAATTGACATAGTTATTATTATAAAATCCAATGTTGTTTACTTGTTAATAGTTAAACTAGATATATCTAAAAAACCAATATACAACTATTATTATCCAAAAGTATCCAAGGAGTTGTACCCCATTATATCCAAAAAGATATGGCAACCAATGTCAATACAGCTAACAATAAGCTAGGTTAGTATACAGGTGTCATGCTAGTAATTGAAGAAACCTAGTAGGATAATATATAAAGATCAAAAATTCTAATTATCACATAACAAAAGTTAATAATGACAATAAAAGTTCTTTGCCTACCTCTTTGACAATATAGGCTCATTGTACAAGATTAAATATCAACACCTTTAAGAAATATCAATCTCAATACATTCGACATTCTCTTTAATAAACTATTATCTCATATTCAAATTTTTACTATACTATTTAGTTTTAACCTATCCTAAATTCAAAACACACTCTCCAAAGCTATTCTAACAGTAAGATTAATTTTTACTTCTCAATCTATAGTTCTAGTGATGGGTTCAAATAAGAGATCAATGCTAGGTGCAATTGGTAAAAGATTAATTTTGTATTAGAATAATTTTGGTAATGAAAACAATTGTCACCTTTCAGCCTTTAGTCCTAGTGATGAGTTTAAATGAAAGGTCAATGTTAGATGCAAATGATGAAAAACTGGCTTCACTTTGATGTAGTTTGAGTTTAGTATAGTATAAAATCAACTCTTACTCTGCTTGTTATACATCAAGCCACATTTGAAAAGCAAGCATGCCAATTATAATTATAATTTGGAGGCAAATCTGGTTATGATGGCTGCAGTGCCTTTATATTATTAAGGTGAAAATAAACTATATAAATAAATAGACATAAATAAGAAAAATATATAAAGAAATATAATAGACCTATCAATATATTCAGTATTTCTAATATATTCTGGTATTTTGAGTTATCTATCTGATAACAAGTAGTATAAAGTAAATAACAAGTATAAAGTAAATAACAAATATAAAGTTGTATAAATCATAAGATATAAAAAGTATAAAAGTAAGATAACGATATAGAAAAAAGAAGAAGAACTACACATCCAAAAAGGCTATCCATCTGAAAAAGGTGACTAACCAAGAAGTGATCATGCAGGAGGTTACTATTCGTGATATAAGATTAACAGATCAACCTGTGTCATTGTCAAACTCAAGCCAAATATACATGTCTCTTTTGATAAGGAGTCATTCCCTATTATAACACGGCATAGGAAAAACAGAAGCGACAGATTTACTGTATTTCACCATAATATTTTGATGATGACTATGAAATCAAACACTATTGACTATACTTATTACCCTCTTTCGATTTTTTATGTGACAGACATAGCATACAGAAATACATGCATTATCACATACAGTAGCATAGAAGCATAATTGCATATAATAGTTGTTACCTCCCCCTCCGATTTACAATTTTATTCTATTTTTATTGTTGTTAATTTTTTAGGTAAGTAATAATGGAAATATCCAGAGTAATAAGAAATGTCATTTTAGGCGTTTTAGACAAGTTGAAAAAATATGGACCCAGAAAAATGGATCAAACAATACTAGTATTAATTTTATTTTTAAAAGTTTTATTTTTTTTGATTTTATTTAAAAAAAAAACTTTAATTATATTTTAAAAATCTTATACAAATTATAAAAACAATAATCTGTTATAAGCAATATTATACTAATGGCACATTTTGAGAATCAGTAATAACAGGTAATTGAAATAACTGGGATTAATTTTTATAATAACACTTCATATGAATCTTTCTGATAGGTAGTCAAAAAATATCATTAAACCAATAAAAGAGATAGATTTAAATTAGTAATAAGATTTCCTCTCCCCTGTGTAAGTCCTATCTGGACATGAACCCATCTACATAATATAAGTTGGCTAACCAGGCCAGGGTAATCAGATTGGCTTAAGGGAAACCAGTAATATTGGGAATGATATTAATTAGATAACATTAATTTACAGTAGGATAGCAATAATCTAATATGTAAAGATGTTTGATGTAATGGTAGTGATAATAATTATCAATAAAAACCTTGCATCTAATACTCTTGACCAATTAAAAAAAAACAATAATCTGCTATAACAACAACCTCACTAGCATTTGGCATAAAATGAAAAAAAAATAATAATGCAAATTTAACAATTCAACAAAATAACAATTCTACCTTCAAAAATCTTATATTTATTACAAACCTCAAATAATTATATCAATTAATACATATTCACTTCAACATTAATTTTACCATTCTGAATAGGTATTAACCGTTCAGCAATATTACTATGTGTCTACTTACATGGTGCCAATCTATATTAATAGCTTTGTTGCAATAAGCTACAATTAATTTATATTTTCACTATATAAAGATTGTTAATGTAAAGCATATTCTTTGCAAGTTTATTGATGTGAAATATGTTCCAAAAAAGATAAAAACTCGCATTTAAAGTTGAATCCCAATCCGATATCGCTGATGAGCTATCTTTTACACAAGAGCTCTTGTTATTGCGCAAGATCTTCCTTGTCACTGAAGACTCGTGTTTAACAAATCTTTCTTTTCCTAGAGAAAGTTTAATCATTTCCACCGGTATGGTGACGACACCGATGCATTTGGAATGGTCCATTTTCACAAGGTGATGGTTTTAATTCCATAGGTTCGTTGAATTTTTTCACGAGTAAGACATGAAAATAACGCTGTGACCTTTTATAAATCGGGCATTATTACGTGTACTTTAATTAAATGGGATGCTACAAAGTTCTGGCAAGTTCGATTACGGTAACGGTGACGATATAAGCACTTCGTTTCATTTGCACCCCTTACTAAAACGTGCAAAGATGTTGCGAACTTGGCAACGATTGGTCCTTTCATCACGAGATGTTAATTGCACTTGAACCGCAGTTTAAGGGCGTAGTCGATAACACATTGTAATAACCGCGTCATAAAGCTTCGCAAAACCATGTGAAATACGAGTTATTTAAAGAATTTCCATTATTCTTGGTTGGTTCTTGACTTGTGTAATCTTCGAAAGGACCACATACGTATCTAAATTAGTTACATCAAACCTCAAAGCATGTGTGGACTTTTTATCCATCATCTTTTAAAGTTTATTCGAAGGAAACCCGCAACGAGAGATGAGACTCCCGCAATCATCAACAATGAACCTACCAAAGAACCTATTACACCGGAAAATAAAACTGCCACATTAGATAATGAACCTATCACTCCAGAAAGCGAGCTCGATATCTTTTCTTCTGTCGACGCGACAACATCCGAAAGCTTTTCCACGAAAAAGTGTAATTTCTAAAACTTCACGCTATTCACATAATGAGCATTAACCTCTATTGGTTTGTATAATTGCGTATAGTTGACGATGCAGTGTCAGAGCACCTTCAGGAAACCAAATTCCAGATCCTTTCTCCGGAAGATCCCGAGTTCTTTTTTATTTATGAGAGATTCAGGGAGTCGATGGATAATATCACTGTCGTGGTCAAATCCATCATCAAACTTCATATGCCCTATCAACTTTTCCAAAATCACATCGATTATCGTGACAAACTTGCTTCTGATAATAATGTGAGTTCTGAAGAAGTAGTGCACACGATGTTTCATGGAACGAACAATCGTTGTGATGTAACCTTGCTGCTGGACGGGACAAGCAAGATTTGTGAAAATGGGTGTAGTGCTTGTGGAATTATTCGATCAGGATTTAAAACGGAAATGTCATCGGATAGTAAGTATTCAAAAAAAACCTTGATACTTATTTAATTTTATTTTTACACAATTCTTCCGTTTATTAGGAAGAATATGGTGCGCAGCATCCTCAGTAGTTTCCGCGGGCTACTGTAGACCCATGACCCGGAAGAATAAAAACCTTACAATGTTTGTTGTGGACGCTTTGCAAAAGAAAAAAGAGGAAATTATTTCTGTTGATAGAGATGAGGCAAATATTTACAATTTTTTCTTAATTTTGTATATCACTGTTGTATATAATATTTCTATTCTAACATAGGCGATTCTTCCGAAGTTTCTCATCATCTTTTCATTTTAGTCAATTTTGAATATTAGTTCAACCGATATAAGCTTACAGAATAGATAAATATATTTAGTAAAACTTAAATTCTCTTGCTCAAGACCATCTGAAGGTGATATTGAAGCAGCAAAGAACGATGTTTAGTTAGTTTGAAATAAATAAAATACGGTTTGTCTTTTCGTGTCTAAAATAAAAAAAACAATTTAATAGTACGTATAATTGATTTTATTTATAATTGATTAGAGTTAATAAATAAATAAATCTTCAAAGAATATATATCAATATTGATTAAAATAAGACCTATCAATTAAAGTTAAGCATATGTGGGTAATTATTTTTAAAGGCAACAAAAATGCTATATATGATTTTTTCGGACTCAATACATACAGTATATAGTATAAATTTTAGGATCACGCCAGAAAATTTTTGGTCCGCCTTCGAAAATAATTACCCATGTTTATAAATCAAGTTGAAAGTTTGAATTATAACTACGTTGATTGAGAAGAAAATATAAACTAAAGAAAAAAGAAGTATTGATAGTATATTGTGGAGTATAGAGATTATAAAAGATAAGATAGTAATAATATAAAAGAATTGATTAATTCAGAAATGTTATTTAAAGAATGAACATGTTGGATTTGAGATAGGGTTATAAGAAGTAATTACAAGAGAAAATTTGGTTTTGATTAGGCAATTAATAATAGGAGTTAATAATTATCTATATTGAAGCACTATTATATCTAAATTTAATAAAGTCAAAAGTTTCATTATTAAGAAAATACTTAAAAAAATAGAGAATCACTTAGAATCGAATTATCAAATATATGAATATTTAGAACCTATTGTAGAATAAAACCAGTAAAAATATAATTATGATCAAAGTAAAGTTTGTTCTATATAGTCTGAAATATTTATTGAATTTAGAGATGTTATATACAGTTTTGATGTTTGTATAGTAAAAAAAAAGTATGGTAGTTTTGCATAATTTGAAAAGTAATTGATAAATTCAAAAAAATATAAAATAACCAAAACATTTATATTATATTCTAATACTATTAAGACAACAGTTATAAATTAAAATTTCTTGAAAAGGAAAAATAACATATTGAATAGAACCAGATAGTATAAGAGGCTTAAATAAATTGTATTTCTTTACAAGTATAAAAATAGATCTTAGGATTTTTGAGTTTGACTATTAAAAGTTTTATAGTTGTAATATCTTTTCTTTTAAGAGTTTTATAATATCAAAGCTTATAAATATAAGATTTTATTTGAGATAATTTATTTGATTTCATTTTGCCTAATATGAATATATAAATAAAATATTTTAAATATATAATAATTATTCAATATAAAACTTGCCTAGTAATAAGATTATTCTATTTTTTTTTAATTGGTAATAGCTTTAATATATTTAACAATTTTAATTTTAAGGACTATTTTGATAAAAAAGATAAAAGACTTTTTAGAAATAAATATTTCAAAATATTTAATAACCTGATTATAAAGTTGACTTATCTTTAATTAAATAATATAAATAAATATATATATTTTTGAATTTAAGATTGATAATTAGATCAGTTTTTTTTTTATTGTATTTAATAAAGTTAAAAGTTAAAAAGAAATGTTTTTGCAACTAATAAAGAAATATTAATTATTGTATTGTTATATAAAAAAACTGAGTTGGTATCATTGTAAAAAGTGGCATTGATTCTTGAAATATTAGTATTGAAGTTGTGATTATATTTATTACTATTGATATTTTATTACTTTTTATTTTTATTGTTTTGTTTCACTTAATGCCAGTGAATAATAAAGTATTTGCTATGTTGCAACAAGATTTTCATATAAGATTATAGAACAATATAAAAGCTTCAATAAATACCTTAATCCAGTTGTAAATATTAACTATTGAGAATATGTTTGTGGTGATTTCACATACTAATTCTAAAATAAGTTTGATTTAAATTAGTATTTATAATAATGTTATTAATATTTTTTAAAATTTTATTAATTATAAGTTAATTGACTTTAATAGTTTTTTTGTTAATTAGAACTTTAAAAACTTTTTTTAAGTTTTTATTTAAAAAAAATTGTTAGTAAAATTGTTAACAATTGATAAAACTAAAATATAAAGATTTAACTTTAATAAAATAAAATTTTATTATTGTTATATTATAACTTTTTTAATAAATATAATTGTACTATTATATTATTATAAAAGTTTTAAAAACTAATTGAAATTATAATTTTTTTTAAATATATTGTTATTCAAAGTATTAATAATAATTATATTAAGATGTTTTCAAAAAAAATTAATAATTGTAATATAATAAAATTTAATTTTTTTCTGTATTGCTTGAATTTATTTTTTAAAAATTTATAAAACTAATAAAATTTGTAATAAAAAAAGAATATTTTATTAGTTTTATATTCAAATTAATTGAAAATAATAAAAACTTATTTATAATTAATAAGAATAGTTATTTGTTTAAATATTTTATAATAAAAAACTTTATTGATAAAATTTTTATTTATCTATATCTAATTAATTCAAGAAGTACTAATAATAATAATGTAAGTATATAAATATTTTTTTAATAGTTTTGACTATATTAATAAAATTGTAAAGGATCTGATCTTTAAAAACTCTTTCCGCTGATCCTTTTGCCAACCCAAAAAACAGATGTTCTCAAAAAACTTTTTGTTTTTATGATAAT